ACGGTTCAAGCTTGTTGAGAAACAGACGCCAGCCCAATTGAAGCCCACTTGTACACGGCACGCAAGGGGTTGTTGGTGCTGGCATTCGACCAATCAGAAGGCTATGGCATGGCTTGTGAGAAAGCTCCATATCGCCTGCACTGCCTGGCAGCAACTCCCCAAGATTTCAGGGTGGGGGGCATTCTGGATTGACCCCGGGACCGTCTGCATGCACGACAGATGTTCTGCCACTGAGCTTTGAACCTTAGGAAGGAAGGGAGGATGTTGCCTTATGGACCATCTAGCACAGTATTGTCTGCACTGACTGGCAGCACCTCTCCAGGGTTTCTACTATGGTTCTGGAAACTGGAGAGTGAGGAAAGCAAAATTCCCTCCACACACAGCCCGGTGGGGCAGGCAGGGAGGAGATATGTCCAATCCGGTTTTTTTTAAAAAAAGATACTGCAATGAAGAGGGACCTGCCTGGCTGGGTACATTTATCATAGAATACGATACGATACGATACGATACGATACGATACACAATACGATACGATACAATACGATACAATACAATACAATAATCTTTATTGTCATTGTCCCATACAGAAGAAAGAAACTGAAAAAATCTACATCAGACATTCAAAAACCAACAAGCCTGCTATCCCAGCCTGGTTAGCCCCTAAAAACTCTGATAAGATAAAGGGACCCCTGACCATTAGGTCCAGTCGTGGCTGACTCTGGGGTTGCGGCGCTCATCTCGCTTTATTGGCCGAGGGAGCCAGCGTGCAGCTTCCGGGTCATGTGGCCAGCATGACTAAGCCGCTTCTGGCGAACCAGAGCAGCGCACGGAAACACCGTTTACCTTCCTGCCAGAGCGGTACCTATTGATCTACTTGCACTTTGACGTGCTTTCGAACTGCTAGGTTGGCAGGAGCAGGGGCTGAGCAAAGGGAGCTCACCCTGTCGCCAGGATTCAAACCACAACCTTCTTATTGGCAAGTCCTAGGCTCTGTGGTTTAACCCACAGCGCCACCTGCATCCCTAAAAACTCTGATACCCCATAATTAAATAAAATATACTCCCACAGAGACTACCTTACACTGTGTTTAAAACCAAAAACTGTTTCTCAGGCAGCTAGTCCTAGTCTTTATAACCCTGTACCTTCTTCCAGAAGGCAGAAGCTGAAAGAGATCATTTCCGGGGTGCGCACTATCCTGCGCTATCTCTGCAGCTTTCTTATGACACCTGGAAGCATAGATTTGATCCAAGGTGGGAAGAGTGCACCCAGTTATTCTCTCCGCAGTCTTTACAACCCTGGACAGCATTGTTTTTTCCCTGACCGTGCAGCTCCCAAACCACACACAGAGACCATAAGTTAATACACTCTCAACAGTACAATGGTAAAATGCCATCAACAGGTCCTTTGAGAGATTATTTTTCTGGAGGATTCTCAGAAAAAAATAACCTCTGCTGTGCTCTCTTCATCAGGTCTTTATTGTTTTCTCCCCAGGTTAGGTAATCTAATCAATCATAGAATTGTAGAGTTGGAAGGGACCCAGGGTCATCTAGCCCAACCCTCTGCAATGCAGGAATTTAGAGGCAGGATAGGCCTTGTCTCAAACATCCTAGCTGCACAAATATAAGATGGGGGACCCCTGGCTTACCTGTGGAAAGGATCTAATGTCTTTATGACAACTTGGAGTAAGGAATGGAAGGGATACTCATCCAATTCGCAGATCACACCAAACTGGGAGGGGTAGCTAATGCCGTAGAAGACAGAATCAGAATTCAACATGACCTTAACAGATTGGAGAACTGGGTCCAAGCTAACAAAATGAATTTCAATAGGGACAAATGAAAGGTTCTGCATTTAGGCAGGAAGAACCAGATGCACAAATATAAGATGGGGGACACCTGGTTTACTAGCAGCACGTGTGAAAGGGATCTAGGGGTCTTAGTGGACCACAAGCTGAACACGAGTCCACAGTGTGTAAGGGTAAAGGTAAAGGGACCCCTGACCATTAGGTCCAGTTGTGACCAACTCTGGGGTTGCGGCGCTCATCTCGCTTTATTGGCCGAGGGAGCCGGTGTACAGTTTCCGGGTCATGTGGCCAGCATGACTAAGCCGCTTCTGGCGAACCAGAGCAGCGCACGGAAAGGCCGTTTACCTTCCCGCTGGAGCGGTACCTATTGATCTACTTGCACTTTGACGTGCTTTCGAACTGCTAGGTAGGCAGGAGCAGGGACCGAGCAACGGGAGCTCACCCCGTCATGGGGATTTGAACCGCCAACCTTCTGATCGGCAAGTCCTAGGCTCTGTGGTTTAACCCACAGCGCCACCTGCGTTCCACTGTCCACAGTGTGATGCAGCAGCAAAAAGAGATAATGCTCTGCTAGGCTGCATCAACAGAAGTCTAGTGTCCAGATCAAGGGAAGTCATAGTACCACCCTATTCTGCCTTGGTCAGACCACACCTGGAATCCTGTGTCCAGTTCTGGGCACCACAATTTTAGAAGGATATTGACAAGCTGGAACATTTGCAGAGGAGGGCGACCAAGATGGCCAAGGGTCTGGAAACCAAGCCTTAGGAGGAACGGTGGAGGAAGCTGGGTATGTTTAGCCTGGAAAAGAGGAGACAGAGAGGAGATACCATAGCCATCTTCAAACATCTCAAGGACTGTCACATTACAAGAAACACCAGGAAGAACTCTTTGACAGTAAGAGCTGTTTGACAACCCTTGGGAGGTTGTGGACTCCCTTCCTTGGAGGTTTTCAAGCAGAAGTTGGATGGTCATCTGCCATGGATGCTTTAGCTGAGATACCTGCATTGCAGAGGGTTGGACTAGATGAGCCTTGGGTCCCTTCCAACACTTTGTTGTTGCTGTTTAGTCCCTTAGTCATGTCCAACTCTTCGTGACCCCATGGACCAGAGCACGCCAGGCACTTCTGTCTTCCACTGCCTCCCGCAGTTTTGTCAAATTCATGTTGGTAGCTTTGAGAACACTGTCCAACCATCTTGTTCTCTGTCATCCCCTTCTCCTTGTGCCCTCCATCTTTCCCAACATCAGGGTCTTTTCCAGGGAGTCTTCTCTTCTCATGAGGTGGCCAAAGTATTGGAGTCTCAGCTTCAGGATCTGTCCTTCCAGTGAGCACTCAGGGCTGATTTCCTTCAGAATGGAGAGGTTTGATCTTCTTGCAGTCCATGGGACTCTCAAGAGTCTCCTCCAGCACCAGAATTCAAAAGCATCAATTCTTCGGCGATCAGCCTTCTTTATGGTCTTTCCAAGACTACAATTCGATGATTCTATGTGAGAGTTCTCATTGTGCCTCAAACATCACTATGTGCAGCACAGAGAGACGTCTGCCCCCTTGTGTCCAAGCTGAGTCCTGCAGCTATAAAGGTACAAAATAATACTGGTTTTTTAGTACAGTGGTGCCCCGCAAGACGAATGCCTCGCAAGACGGAAAACTCGCTAGACGAAAGAGTTTTCCGTTTTGGAGGTGCCTCGCAAAACGAATCTGCTATGGGCTTGCTTCGCAAGACGAAAATGTCTTGCGAGTTCCTGGGGTTTTTTTTCCCTTTTCCCCCTCTTTTTCTAAGTCGCTAAGCCGCTTATCAGCTTATCGGATAAGCAGATAAGCGGCTAAAAGCCGCTAAAAGCCGCTAAAAGCCGCTAATAGCGCTAATAGCGCTAATCCGCTAATCCCGTCAATGGGCTTGCTTCGCAAGACGAAAAAACCGCTAGACGAAGAGACTCCCAGAACGGATTCTTTTCGTCTTGCGAGGCACCACTGTACAGTATATTCATTGATCAAACTGCGGGAGGCAGTAGAAGACAGGAATGCCTGGCGTACTCTGGTTCATGGGGTCACGAAGAGTCGGACACGACTAAACGACTAAACCACAACAACAACAATATTCATTGAGCAGTTAGGCTCATAGCCAGGCCTTGAATTAGAAAGATTGAGGCAGCTGCCTCGGGTGGTAAAATGCAGCGGGTGTGGTAAGGATGTGGGGCAGGGTGTGTGGATTTGATCCAGTTTGCATTTAAAGGCAGAACTACAAAAACTTTCTGAAAGATATGCAAACAGACACACGGGCCCCTTTCAAAATTTGTCAGACTTTTGACGCCAGCCCTGGTGGCAGGGTGGTGTTATTCTCCCCATGCTACAGATGTGGGAGGAAAGACCGAGGCTGCAATATGGCAGCGAGTCCGTTGCTGGGTTGAGATTTGAACTGTGAATTGGGGGGGGGGGGGCGTCTTCCACTAGGAGGCAGATTTTTTATTTAATTCAAATGAGCAGGAGAGATCCCTTGCCTTTAAAAACAGGAAATTGCACCTCTGGTTGCCAACTGACCAGGTGGGAAAAAGCCTGGCCTGTTCCTATGCCTTTAATAGCAGCACAATTTACAGCAGAAACCAGCAGTCCAGACTTAAATGAGAGAGAGAGAGAGAGAAAGAGAGAGAGAGAGAGAGGGCAGAGATCTTCTTAATCAAATACTTGGAGATCAAGCAACTGTTAAGAGCACAAGAGCAGAGATCAACAAAGAAGTTGGCAGCCCTGCTCCCACTGGGTAAAGAGGAGGAAATCCCCCTTGGGACACAAGGCAAGGGGTCACTCTTTGCAGCTGTCATTTCCTGGTCCCATCTCTCCGTCCCACAACTACACCCTCAAAGGCAACCTTATTCAAATACATTTCCTGTCTCATTTCACACATGGTTCCCCCCCCCTTCCTTTAATCTTCTTCTCTCACTTCACTTAACCATCTCCGGGGCCTGCCCAAAGAGACAGAAAGCAAAACTCTGGGGTGTTTGTGAGCTGATGAGACAGAAGAAAGCTGGACCCGCAGCTTCTCAAAATACATATATTCATCTATCTGCCACCCCCTCCCACCGGTTGCTGGATTAGCGAGATAGCCTTCGAGGTTTCAGCTGCAGAACGCCAACAAGGCTGAACAAGCAGGGGAGGTATATTTTTCGAGGCCCCTCCTGGCTCGGAGGAGGACCCAGAGCGAGGATGGAGGCCGTGGCCTTGTACAACTTCCAGGCTGATGAGAAAGACGAATTGCCATTTAAGAAGGGGGACACCCTGAAGGTATTGTTGCTGTACTGTAATGATGATGATGATGATCACCAAGTTTGCCATCTGGAGAGGGATCTGTGAGAGCTGGGAAGACTCGCTTCTTTGTATGTCGAAATTAAAAAATTAAAAAATAGTCCAGTAGCACCTTAGAGACCAGCTAAGTTTGTTCTAGGTATATATCTAGAACAAGTGTTCTAGGTGTGCATGCACACAAAGGCTTATACCTAGAACAAGTGTTCTAGGTGTGCGTGCACACGAAGGCTTATACCTAGAACAAACTCAGTTGGTTTCTAAGGTCCTACTGGACTATTTTTTAAAAAATTATTTTGACTGCGTCAGACCAACACGTCTACCTACCTGAATCTAGATTATTTGTATGTGTATTGAAAATTAAGATATACCGTATTTTTCCATGTATAAGACTAGGTTTTCACCCCTAAAAAATAATGTCAAAAATTAGGGGGCGTCTTATACACAGATGCACCCCCCTCCCCATTTTCTTAAAACTGAGTCGCCCAAAATAGGGGGTGTCTTATACATGGGGGCGTCTTATAGAAGGGAAAATACGGTAATTAATGATAGCTACATTCATATAATTTTATGTTTTATTATAATTATTACTATTATTATTGTTGTTGGTGTGTTTTTTTAATATGTCCTGTCTCTCTGTTCCTTTCTTCTTCTTCTTCTTCTTCTTCTTCTTCTTCATTTTTCTTCTCTTTCCCTCCTTCTTTTCTTGTTTTCCTCTCCTCTCTCTCTTGTCTTTTTGGTTCTATTTGCTTTAGATACTATTCTATTCTATTGTGGAAAATTTAATGAAAATCTTTGGACAGCCAAGTTTACCACCCGGGAAAATTATGCACTTGGACCAAATCTACATACAGTATTGTTGTGGGGGGGGTGTATTGGGGGGGGGGGGTCCGCCAGGATGATGCCCTGAGCCTCTTCCAATTGTTGGGATCCTGCATCCCAGTCTAAGAGAGGAGGTTGCTATCCTGGTCAGGCAAGTTTCATTGTAAGGCAATGACTTTCGCTGGCCACTCAAGGGTCCTCATCAGCATCTCAAAAGAACAAGTTGAGTTGCAAGTCCTATATCTAAGTGCCGGTGCCCTGCCAATAAGATCAGCTGCAGTGTCAATACTGTGATCATCTTATGCTCAGGTTGTATATACAGTGGTCCCTTTGTTCTTGAACATAATCTGTTCCGGGAGGCCGTTCGACTTGTTCATCCAGGGATAGGCAGACTCCAGGCTTGCAGGATCTGCTTGGGATTTTACCATAATCCTGAGATCCACCACTTGGAGTCAGGCACATTTAGGTTTGATGAGGCCCTAAGCTCCTGAAGGTCATGGGGGCCCTTATGTGTCCAGCTGTCCTTTGTCAACAACAAATTGTCACTGTTTTTTTTATGTTGAATATATGCTATATGGTAATTTATGGACCCAATACAGTGATACCTCGGGTTAAGTACTTAATTCATTCCGGAGGTCCGTTCTTAACCTGAAACTGTTCTTAACCTGAAGCACCACTTTAGCTAATGGGGCCTCTTGCTGCCGCTGCGCCATCGGAACACAATTTCTGTTCTTATCCTGAAGCAAAGTTCTTAACCCGAGGTACTATTTCTGGGTTAGCGGAGGCTGTAACCTGAAGCGTATGTAACCCGAGGTACCACTGTAGATATCTAAAGCCATTTGCCCATGTTGCCATGCAACCAGTCCATGCAGAATGTAGGCACCCTATATATAGAAAGGAGCAAACCAGTGATATTTTAGGGAACAGGCTAGCAGGCAGGGCCCATTACGTCCATCAGAGGAGCCTACACAACACAAAACACTGTTGCTGTTTGTAGGTTTTATTTTATTTGTTTTATATCTTATATTTTGGAAATGTACATCCAGGTGGTTTTTCCCCCTTTAATTTTTTTTGGGGGGCCCCAAGAGAGTGGGGCCCTAAGCTATAGCTTGTTTAGCTTATACATAAATCCAGCACTGGCAAAGCTAAAGGACCTGGTGTCTCTGAGCAACCGCTGAGCTGCACAGCCTGGGGTTTGCTTTAGGTGTTCAGCTGAGGTTTTGCTGAACTCACCATCCTTTCACACCAACATCTATTTCTGGCTACCCAGAGGTCTCTTCGTTTTAGCAGTCTAATGAGGACAGGGCAGTGGGGCTCCATTGAACCACTGAAATTCACAGGCTTAAATGAGCCCTGCCCTTTAATTTCAGTGGGCCTTCTCGGAGTAGAGCGTACCTTGACACAACTCGCAGGCTTGAACACACCAGTGCACAGTGCTATAATTCCCAGGCTAGGTCAAGTCTCAGTCCCTCTTTCCCAGGGAACTCTGGGTAGCTCTGTGAAGGGAACAGGGGTCTCCTAACGACTCTCAGCACCCTGAACAAACTATTGTTCCCGGGAAAGGCTGAGGTGAGAGAGAGAGAGAGAGAGACATAGAGAGAGGGAGGGAGGGAGGGAGGGAGGGAGACTGGCCCAAGGTCATACACTGAACATAATGGCTGAGTGAGAGGATTTGAACTCAGATCTCCCTAGTCCTACTCGTCTTCTTCTTTTTAAAGAGTATATTTATACCACATTCTTCCAGTCACAGGTTACTCAAAGTGGCTTACCAATCTGTCAGTTTCATTTCCTCACACCAGGCACACATTTTTCCTGTCGTATATATTCGCACATGCAACTTTGCCCAGTCGTTGCCTCGCTAGAGTTTCCAGCACCCTTCGCAAACTACAGATCCCAGGATTCTTTGCAGAGGGGTGTGCTTTAAATGTGCCTCAAAAGTTTAAATGTATGTTGCATATTCAGCTCCATACTGATGTAGCGGTTAGACTACAACCGGGGAGAGCAGGGTTCAAATCCTCACTCAGAAACAAAGCACCACTGGATGTAAAGGTAAAGGGACCCCTGACCATTAGGTCCAGTCGTGGCCGACTCTGAGGTTGCGGCGCTCATCTCGCTTTACTGGCCGAGGGAGGTGGCGTACCGCTTCCGGGTCAGGTGGCCAGCATGACTAAGCCGCTTCTGGTCAACCAGAGCAGCGCACGGAAATGCCATTTACCTTCCTGCCGGAGCGGTACCTATTTATCTCCTTGCACTTTGACGTGCTTTCAAACTGCTAGGTTGGCAGGAGCAGGGACCGAGCAACGGGAGCTCACCCCATCACGGGGATTCGAACCACCGACCTTCTGATCGGCAAGTCCTAGGCTCTGTGGTTTAACCCACAGCACCACCCGCGTCCCTACCACTGGATGATTTGGGGGCAAATCATTCTCTCTCTCAGCCCTATCCCACCTCGCAGGGTTGTTGTGACGATGAAATGGCCACCTTGAAGGAAAGTTGGGCTATCGCTGCCAAGAAGGATGTAAATAAATAGAGACTGAAAGAGACTTTGACAAGAGTCAGAGAGCAACAATAGCACAGCGGCAGAGCTTTGTGTATAAAAAGTCACAGGTTCAATTCCTGGCGTCTTCAGGATCAAGTAAGAAAAGGTTATGGGAAACGGTTTTCTCTGCCTGAGGCCCTGGATTGCTACTGCCATTTGACAATACAACCCTAGATGGACAAACAGGGCTACTAGAGATGGAGGAGAAACCTGATTCCGTTCACTTTTTAAAGTGAATTTCTTTATTTTGTACTTTCCGGGCAAAATGCACAAATTGAAGCATAGCCATTCTTCAAAATTCACGCTTTTCCAAATTTCGCAGTGCAGTTCTCCTGCCAAGTCATGAGTGCAAAACTGCACATACGTTAGTGATGTTAACATACAGAAATGCATCATATTAGGGGAAATGGATGGGGAGGGGAATATTTATATAAGCTATCATCTTCATTTCCCAGCTTGCAGTCAACAGACCTTTTAAATGTTTTATAACAATTTTAAAACGACGACCATGAAATTCACATCAATGCAACTGAGAAACGCAACATTTATATAGCAGGCAATTCATAAGCGGTTTAACACAGATGGCCATGTTTTCTAAAAATTGCCACTTCCTCTGTCTGTCAAACCCACATGCAAAAATGTGCCGGTAATTTTTCATGAGGATATTGAACACCCACACCCACAAATTACTGCAGAAATTTAAAGAAATGAATTTGCAATTGGAAAAATTGAGGACAGTGGAGAACTGAAATTGATGGATTGGTTCATCCATGCTTGCCACCATAGGGGCCAGATCACTGGGGCCCTGGATGCCCAAGCACCCACAAAATTCCCCATGAAGGGGCTGGTCACCCACAAATTTCAGTGCATGGCACCCATGGCCCCGGGCCCCCACGGTTGTGGGGCCAAGCTTGCACTCGCGCTTGCTATGATGGCTAGATTCTGCATCTGCCAACAGTGGCCTTTGAATGCTTCACATGAGTCCACAGTGAAATGCAGCAGCAAAAAGAGCTAATGCTATTCTAGGCTGCATCAACAGAAGTCCAAATCAAGGGAAGTCATAGGTAAAGGGACCCCTGACAATTAGGTCCAGTCGTGGACGACTCTGGGGTTGCAGCGCTCATCTCGCTTTATTGGCCGTGGGAGCCGCCGTACAGCTTCCGGGTCATGTGGCCAGCAGGACTAAGTCGCTTCTGGCGAACCAGAGCAGCGCACGGAAAGGCCGTTTACCTTCCCGCCGGAGCGGTACCTATTTATCTCCTTGCACTTTGACGTGCTTTCAAACTGCTAGGTTGGCAGGAGCAGGGACCAAGCAATGGGAGCTCACCCCGTCGCGGGGAATCGAACCGCCGACCTTCTGATTGGCAAGTCCTAGGCTCTGTGATTTAACCCACAGCACCACCCGCATCATAGTAGCACTCTATTGTGCCTTGGTCAGACCACACCTGGAATACTGTGTCCATTTCTGGATGCCACAGTTTAAGAAGGATGTTGACAAGCTGGAATGTGTGCAAAGGAGGGCGACCCAAGATGATCAGGGGTCCGGAAACTAAGCCTTATGATGAATGGTTGAAGGAGCTGGGTATGTTTAGCCTGGAAAAGAGGAGACTGAGAGGAGATGGCCATCTTCAAATACCTGAAGGGCTGTCACATGAAGGATGGAGCAAGCTTCTTTTCTCCTACTCTGGAGGGTAGGACTCAAACCAATAGCTTCAACCTTTCCATGGAGGCGCAGGTTGCAGCCACAGCAAAGGTGGCATTTTTCCATCTCCGCCGTATTAAGCAGTTGGTCCCTTACCTTTCTCACCCTGATCTGGCCACAGTGATCCATGCGACAGTTACCTCCAGGCTTGATTATTGTGACTCGCTTTACGCGGGGCTGCCCTTGAAGCTGATCCAGAAACTCCGGCGGGTGCCACAGTTTAAGAAGGATGTTGACAAGTTGCAACGGGTGCAGAGGAGGGCGACCAAAATGATCAAGGGTCTGGAAACTAAGCCTGATGAGGAACAGTTGAAGGAGCTGGGTATGTTTAGCCTGGAAAAGAGGAGACAGAGAGGAGATATGAGAGCCATCTTCAATCATCTCAAGGACGATGGAGCAAGCTTATTTTCTCCCTCTCTGAAGAGTACGACTCAAATCAATGGCTTCAAGTTACAAGAAAGAAGATTCTGATGAAACACCAGGAAGAACTTATAGCTTTTGAGTAGTGAAACCATCTCCCTCAGGAGGTTGTGGACTCTCCTTCCTTGGAGGGGTTTTTGAGGAGCGCTTGGGTGGCCATCTGTCATGGATGTTTTAGCTGAGATTCCTGGGTTGGACTAGATGACCCTTGGGTCCCTTCCAGCTCTACAGCCCAAATGTTCTCATGGCCCTGATGGCTCCTTCCTGCTTTGCATCAGCTTGCCTGCAGCCCGCTCTGCTCTGCTGGTCACCCGGGGAATTCTTTCGGTGCCCAGAGAGTCCCCCAGAGAAATCTCAGTTCCTGTTTTCGCAGCAGAGAGCTGCTTTTCACAATAACGTGGGGGGGTGAGTGGGGGAAATCAGCCAGAAAAGCAAAAGGGGCATCTGACGTTTCAAGGGTACGGGTTAATCATATATGTACACATAAACTACTCAGGTTGTCCAGTTCGAAAGAAAGAGTCTAAGTGCTTTTTTTAAAAAAAAGATATTTATTAAAGTTTCAAGATATTACAAAAATAAGAGAAAAGAGAAAGAGAAAAAAAGAAAGAAAAGAAAAGAAAAATACAAAGTAAAGACAGTTAAAAACAGATCAGTCTTTCCATATCTTATCTTTCATTTACTTGTTTCTCTGACCTCCTCACACCTCCCTTTTTTGTATTCCAGTTCAGTTAGTTAATTCAGCAAATCCTATCCCTCTTTGATTTTATCTTAATATTTTATCTTAATATATTATAACTTTAGATTATCACCTGTTAACAATCCATTTTTCCATATTCCTTTATAACATTGCTGCTAAAAACCACTTAACTTCAATCCAACATCATTCTAGCATTCATTAATTTTGCAGTATTTCTGTAGATAGTCTTTAAATTTCTTCCAATCTTCTTCCACCGACTCTTCTCCCTGGTCTTGGATTCTGCCAGTCATTTCTGCCAGTTCCATATAGTCCACCACCTTCATCTGCCATTCTTCCAGAGTGGGTAAATCTTGTGTCTTCCAATACTTTGCAATAAGTATTCTTGCTGCTGTTGTGGCATACATAAAAAAAGTTCTATCCTTCTTTAACACCAATTGGCCAACCATGCCCAGGAGAAAGGCCTCTGGTTTCTTCAGAAAGGTATATTTAAATACCTTTTTCATTTCATTATAAATCATCTCCCAGAAAGCCTTAATCCTTGGGCACGTCCACCAAAGGTGAAATAATGTACCTTCAGTTTCTTTACATTTCCAACATTTATTATCGGGCAAATGATAGATTTTTGCAAGCTTGACTGGTGTCATGTACCACCTGTATATCATTTTCATAATATTCTCTCTTAAGGCATTACATGCCGTAAACTTCATACCTGTGGTCCATAACTGTTCCCAGTCAGCCATCATTATGTTATGTCCAACATCTTGTGCCCATTTAATCATAGCAGATTTCACCGTTTCATCCTGAGTATTCCATTTCAACAGCAAGTTATACATCTTTGACAAAATCTTGGTTTTGGGTTCTAACAGTTCTGTTTCCAATTTTGATTTTTCCACCTGGAAGCCAATTTTCTTGTCCAAATTATATGCCTCCATTATCTGATAATAATGAAGCCAATCTCGCATTTTATTTTTTAGTTTTTCAAAACTCTGCAATTTCAATTTGTCTCCCTCTTGTTCCAAAATTTCCCAATATTTCGGCCAATTGGCCTCCATATTGAGCTTTTTCTGAGCCTTCGCTTCCATCGGTGACAACCACCTTGGGGTTTTATTTTCAAGTAGGTCCTTATATCCTATCCAGACATTAAACAATGCTTTCCTGACAATATGATTTTTAAATGCTTTATGTACTTTGACCTTATCATACCACAAATATGCATGCCATCCAAATACATTATTAAAGCCTTCTAAATCCAAAATGTCTGTGTTTTCAAGAAGCAGCCATTCTTTCAGCCAGCAAAAAGCTGCTGATTCATAATAAAGTTTAAGGTCTGGCAGGGCAAATCCGCCTCTTTCTTTAGCATCGGTTAATATCTTAAATTTTATTCTAGGCTTCTTGCCCTGCCAGACAAATCTAGAAATATCTCTCTGCCACTTCTTGAAACAATCCATTTTATCCAAAATTTGCAATGTTTGAAACAGAAACAACATTCTAGGCAATACATTCATTTTTATCGCAGCAATACGGCCTAGCAGTGAAAGCTTCAAATTTGACCAAATTTCTAAATCTTTTTTCACTTCAGTCCAGCATTTTTCATAATTGTCTTTAAATAGATTCCCATTTTTAGCTGTCATGTTAATCCCCAGGTATTTCACTTTCTTAACCACTGTTAAACCTGTCTCGTTCTGAAACCTCTCTCTCTCAATCGCTGTTAAATTTTTCTCTAAAACCTTTGTTTTTAACTTATTCTGTTTAAATCCTGCAACCTGACCAAATTCTTGAATCAGTTCTAAAACTCTTTTAGTACTAGATTCTGGCTCCTGTAACGTCAATACTAAGTCATCTGCAAATGCTCTCAATTTGTACTGTTTAGCTCCGACTTGTATACCTTTAACCAATTGATCCCTTCTAATCATGTTCAGCAGGACCTCCAGGACCGATATAAAAAGCAATGGGGAGATTGGGCAACCTTGTCGTGTCCCTTTTTTTATCTTAAATTCCTCCGTCACCACGTTATTAACAATTAATTTAGCCTTTTGTTCTGAATAAATTGCACTTATACCATTTCCAAAACCTTGACCTACCCCCATCCCCTGTAGGTTCTAAAAAGAGTCAAAGTGCTATCCTACAAAGGGGCAGTGTGGTGTAGTGGTTAGGGTGGTAGAACAGGGTTGAAATCCCCACTCGGCTAGGTTGCATGCTGGGTGACTTAGACCGTGAGGGGAGAGAGACTTTGTGCAGGCCATCAAGGATAGCTCAGTCAGTATATATGATGCAAACTACTAATAATTATAAATAGCTTGATTAATATGAAATTAAGTGTTATAACCTGTACAATGCAATTGTAGTTAATACAATGCATTTTTTAAATATAATATCAATATCGCCATAGTAGTGCACACTGTTTATTGAGACAGCAGACCTTTGTACCCTGTTACACTTAGTGAGTGTAAAAGATGGTATTTCTTTCTTTCGGTATAATTTTTTGGGGGGCCCCAAGAGAGTGGGACCCTTAGCTATAGCTTGTTTAGCTTATATGTTAATCCGGCACTGCCTTCAAGCTAACAGCTGCTCCTTTTTCTCTCTTTTGGATTCCACAGATCCTGAACATGGAAGATGACCTGAACTGGTACAAAGCAGAACTCTTCGGCACCGAAGGATTCATCCCCAAAAACTACATCAAAATGAAACCTCACCCGTAAGCAGCACCTGTTTGTTCCTTTCCTTGCTTTATTTCAAAGCGTTTATGGATCGCTTAGTCTTTAAAAAGTACGGTAACCTTGCCAGGAAAACAAACCGAGGTGTCTTTCCTCCTGGGAAGCCCTGATCTCAGCACACCTTAACCGAGACCAACCCTGTCCCAGTGGCCCAAAGGCTGCTGCGCATTTAACAACAGCCAGACACACCAATACTATCCAACTGGTGAAGATTAAGAAGATTTAAGGTGGGGGTGGGGAAGTTATGGACCCTCCAGACATTGCTGGACTCCCAGTTCCTATAGGCCCCATCCTGCATGGCCGATACTCAGGGATGATGGGAGTTGTAGCCCAGCAACAAAATCTGGCGGGCCACAGGGTTTTGCCCTGAACATCGCCCCATCGCATTTGACAATTGCATTTTGCACCTGCCGCAAGTGTTCTTCTTTCAAGAATCCACAATCAATCAGCACTTGGAAGGGGGAAAGAGGGCAGGGCAATGAATGAACAAGATGCAAAACACATTAGCTTGTGGGTGGACGTTGTATTTCTCTGGAACAAACAAGTAAGCAAATGCATTCACGCTGGATAAATCCCCCCCCCATCCCATCCTACACTAGTTTCCAAGGAAAGCTTGCTTAAAGATTGCCTAGCGCAGATACAGCCTTGGCATTTATTTTATGGTTCAGTGGTACCTCGGGTTACATACGCTTCAGGTTACAGACTCCACTAACCCAGAAATAGTACCTCGGGTTAAGAACTTTGCTTCAGGATGAGAACAGAAATCGTGCAGCGGCAGCAGGAGCCCCCTTTAGCTAAAGTGGTGCTTCAGGTTAAGAACAGTTTCAGGTTAAGAACGGACCTCCAGAACGAATTAAGTTCTTAACCCGATGTACCACTGTACTTGATTTTATTTCGAAACAAACAAAAAGTTGGTACATTTCACTTCTGTGCCACGGCTCGTGGATTTCAGAAGATCAGACTCTTGGTTAAAAGCCCAGGAGCAGACCAGAACTGAGCATGTTGCTTCGCTGCAATTATTATTATTTTTTAAAAGATATTTATTAAGATTTTCAAAATGTTACAGAACAAAAACAAAAGAAGAAAAAAGTACAAAAATAAAAATGGCTAAAAACAACTCAATCTTTCCATTACTTATTTTTCATTAGCTTATTTCCCGGACCTCCTCACGCCTCCCTTTTTTGTGTTCCAGTTCAGTTTGTTGGTTCAGCAAATCCTTACCCTCTTTGTTTATCCTAATCTTTAATCTTAAAATATTGTGACGTTAAATTTTTACCTATTAATAATCCATTTTTCATATTCCCTTATAGTATTACAGCTGAAAACCACTTAATTTCTATCCAGCATCATTCTAACATTCATTAATTTTACAATATTTCTGTAGATAGTCCTTAAATTTCTTCCAATCTTCTTCCACTGCAATTATTGCTTCGCTGCAATTATTGTGGTGGTGGTTGTTTCCCAGTCAGTTGGCAATCCTAACGGCCAGTTCAGGGACTCATAATAATGACAACCACCTACAGCCACAACAAGAAGGACAACTCCTAGCCATGCCCTCCTTAAGAGAGTCCAAAAATACAGGTAATTGCTTGGGTCTGTTATTTATTTTATCTTCTCCCATTTCTATCCCACCCTTCCTCTCAAAGGGTGATGGCTAGTGTTCTTCCCAATCTCCTCTGTAAAGAAAACCAGATCTAGGGTGCAACCCGCAGTATGTGTTGGGTCCTCAGTGTATTGCAACAGCCCCATGGTTGTCCTGCTGGCCAGATTTTTCTATGACTCCATGAGGTCCTGAGCCGGGCCAGACAAGGCAGCATCGACATGGATTTTGAGGTCCCCCAGAACTAAGTGTCCTGGGATTCCCTGACACCACACCAGAGACCGCTTCCACCAGCTCAGTCAGGGAGGTGGTTGGAGGCCAGGCTTGGAGGTACACTCACGCGATTGCTGTTCCATCTCTGCCCCCCAACACCAAGGCCAAACCCTTGCGTCTCACTCCCAGGTGAACTAGGCTATGATTCCCAGGTCACTGGGTAAAGACCATGCAGTCTTACTGCAATCCTAAGCATTTTACACAGAAGCCAGTCCCACAGCACCGGCTGTGGCTGTAGAGACCAATACTGGAGAGACATGTTTTGTTGCATCTGGGGCAGGTGAAGGCATCCGGTTCTGCTACTGCAGATGTACCGGGGCGTTTCTTCTCCCTGTGGTCCTCCCAGCGGTCATTCCTCCTCTGATCACTGCTGTGGATGCACGACCTGTCTGTCTCCAGTCCTCTGCTAGAGATTTCCACACGGCGGGTTGATGTTGCCAACAGGGCCGTCTTACCCATAGAGGCTAGTGGCGCAGGGCGCCAAGTTCTAGAGGGCGCCAGAGAAGAGGCGGAGTGTGCTGGTCCCGGGGGGGGTTACCGTGCAACATGGTCTGAGTCTGGTCCTAGGTCGAGGGTATGGAGGTTGTCTGTCAAGGACGAAACGGGGTCCAAGGCAAGGAGCCGGGCGTGGTCAGGAACTCTGGAAGAGCAGGACAGGGTGCTGGCAGGAACAGGTTACCAACGATGTTGCTCCTGCAACCTGGGACTGGGCTGACTGGCCTTTACCTCCTCTGAGGCATAGGGCAGCCTCAGTCCACAGGTGACTCGCCTCTCCTGGCCTGGAGGCGAGCACTCCTCCTGCAAGAACTTAGTTCCCTCTGCCTCTCTGCCCTGAGCCTCTGCAGCTCAGGAGAGGCTGGAGGGTTACTGGACCCAGAGGCAACCTCACCTTCCCCTGACAGGGCTAGGAGAGGAGCACCTGCAGGCAATGGGTCCTTGATCACCTCCGGAGCCAGAGTGGATTCAGCTGGTGTCTGCTCCTGAGGATCTGGCACAGGTGAGGGCCCTTCAGGTTCAAGCCCTTGCCCCGGCTCAGCCGGCCCTGGAGGTGGGGACTCCTGTGCAGGCTGGGATTCCTCAGGTTCAGCCTCTGAATCAGATTCCCAGGCCATCACACGGAGGCTATACGCGGCACCTCGTGGCATCAGCTCGCCGCCCTCACCTGCCTCTGCCATGCCATGAAGCAGTGCCGCACCCAGAGCCTCCATCTGCCATGGCCACCGTGGCACGGAGCAGCCAGCTGAGCTGGAAGGCACTGCGTCCAGCCTCCCCCTCTTCCCCTCTGGAGGAGCCACCCTCCAGCCGCTGCCCGCCTCCTCCAGCCCTGACGGCAGCGCCATCCTCCCTAAAATAACTCTAGGAAAAGGAGGGGGCGTGCCGGAGGGAGCTTTGCACCATGGCGCCGGATATGCTTAAGACAGCCCTGGTTGCCAACCTGTCACATTTCCAGACGTCTTTGTAACGCAGAGTCGGTCTGCCAGCGGGCCCGGTGCCTGAAGCCAACTTCCTTGGAGATCCCGTTCTTCACATTATTCCAAAGACAGCTTGGCTTGCAATTTTCCGCTCTGTCTCCTTCGTGTCCCCCAACCCTTTCTGTTCCTGGTGATTATGGATTCACTTGCCCAAAATAGGAGAGCTTGTTCATGGCCTTGACACTGCGGCAGGTGATCTCAGAGCAGGAAAATAATGGTCTCAGCTCTTTGGCCCTCTACTCTATGCGGCCTAGGACCCACATACCTACGGGACCTCCTCTCCTGGTATGCCCTGCGGAGGACCTTAAGGTCCACAAATGACAACACTTTGGAAGTCCCAAGTCACAAGGTGGTTAGATTGGTCTCAACTAGGACCAGGGCCTTTTCAGTACTGGCCCCGACTTGGTGGAACGCTCTGTCACAAGAGACCAGGGCCCTGTGGGACTTGACATCTTTCTGCAGGGCCTGCAAGACAGAGCTGTTCCGTCTGGCCTTTGGTTTGGACTCAGTCTGACCCTTATGTTTCCCTCCCCTTATGGTCTTGATTTATCAGATACTTTTAAAATGAGGCTGCATTTTAAATTGCATTTTAACCTGTATTTTAAATTGGTTTTCTTCTTCTTCTTTTCTTTTCCCCCTATTATGTTTTTACTGTGATTTTATTGGTGTTAGCTGCCCTGAGCCCAGCTCTGGCCGGGTATAAATAAAAATTATTATTATTATTATTATTATTATTATTATTATTATTATTATTATTACTCTTGCCTGCCTATCACCGATCACCTCTTTTCTTGGCTCTCTCACCCAGGTGGTATTCCGGAAAGCTGTCCAGGCAAGCAGCTGAGGACGTTCTCTTGAAACGTAATTTCCAGGGAGCTTTCCTTATCCGGGAAAGTGAGAGCAGCCCAGGGGATTTCTCCATCTCAGTGAAGTAAGTCAAATCCTGAGGTGCAGCAGATAACAGGCTTTTTATCTGTGAAGAAGAAGAAGAAGAGTTTGGATTTGATATCCCGCTTTATCACTACCCGAAGGAGTCTCAAAGCGGCTAACATTCTCCTTTCCCTTCCTCTCCCACAACAAACACTCTGGGAGGTGAGTGGGGCTGAGAGACTTCAGAGAAGTGTGACTGGCCCAAGGTCACCCAGCAGCTGCATGTGGAGGAGCGGGGAAGCGAACCCTGTTCCCCAGATTGCGAGTCTATCGCTCTTAACCACTACACCACACTGGCACTGTGGTTTGGAAGCTGCCTGTTTTGTTTGTCTTATCTTGTTCTCAGTAGTTATGGTATGTGTGTCCCCCCCCCCATTGATTTAAAAGCCCATTGAATTCTTTCTATTGCAACATTTATACCACCACCCGCCTTGAGCCCCAAAAGCTGCCAGGGTAGCTTACAAAAATCAGTACTAATACGGCTCACAATCTGAAACAGACACGGCACACAAGGAAAAATGTGTGGGTGGGAGGAGGGGAAAGCAAGCTCAAACTCAGGCTACGGTTCTTAAAAGTTACAGCTGATGTCAGGAGTGGTTCTGGTTGTCTTAAAGAGCAATCCCTTCTCCATAGCATTTCATCCCTCCCTTCCCCCACCCCAGATCAGACCTAGGACATTATCCACCCCAGGAGGGCAAGGGAAGTCCTGCCACACACTGGTTCCCTCAAACAGATGATTTGCTGACCATATGCTGCCTTGGGAGAGCTTTCCCCGAAAGAGAACTCATGCAACATCCAAATAAATAAATGCAAATATGCAAAAACGGTATCAATATAGAAAATGTGCATCGGCTGTTGCAGATGAGGGTCCTGAGCATCCGGAGTCCAGGAAGGGCAGAAACGTCTGTGGAAATAAAGGGGAGGACTTCATGTGCCCCTAATATTCTTTCTCCAGTTGTAGTCTAAACCACTGAGCCTCTTGGGCTTGACGATCAGAAGGTTGGCGGTTCGAATCCCCCGCGACGGGGTGAGCTCCCGTTGCTCGGTCCCTGCTCCTGCCAACCCAGCAGTTCGAAAGCACGTCAAGTGCAAGTAGATAAATAGGTACCACTCCGGTGGGAAGGTAAACGGTGTTTCCGTGCGCTGCTCTGGTTTTGCCAGAAGCAGCTTAGTCATGCTGGCACATGACCTGGAAAAACTGTCTGCGGAAAATGCCAGCTCCCTTGGCCTGTAAAGCGAGATGAGCGCCACAACCCCAGAGTCGTCTGCGACTGGATTTAACTGTCAAGGGTCCTTTACCTTTACCTTTTTTTAGCTTGTCATAGAATCCTAGAATTGTAGAATCGGAAGGGTTCCCAAAGGCCATCTAGTCCAACCACGTGCAATCCATGCCAGACGGCTTTCCAACCCCTGCTTTAAAAACTCCAAGGAAGGGGAGTCCACAAACTCCTGAGAGAGACCATTCCATTGTCAAACAGCTCTTACCGTCAGAAAGTTTACTCAGAACCCCCTTTCTTGTAACTTGAAGCCATGGGTTCGAGTCCAGAGCAGGAGAAAGCAACCTTCCTCCATCCTCTGTATGACAGCCCTATATAAATATATAGGCTCTCTCCTCTCCCCTTTTCCAGGCTAAACATACCCAGCTCTCTTAACTGTTCCTCTTAAGGCAGGCATAGGCAAACTCGGCCCTCCAGATGTTTTGGGACTACAACTCCCATGATCCCTAGCTAACAGGACCAGTGGTCAGGGATGATGGGACTTGTAGTCGAGCCGAGTTTGCCTATGCCTGCCAGACCCTTGTTGTGTAGACTGAGAGTTGTTCTTATCTTATCTGAGAGCACCAGAGGGCGCTCTCAATGCACCACAAATAATCCAAGCGGCTTTTTTCAAATGATAAGCTGTATCTCTTGGCTGCCTTAAGGTTCATGCCAATCATCTGGACGGCCGGACTGTTCCCAAACACCTGCTGATCTTTTCTAGAGCTAAATTTAGTTGCCTCCTTTCTGCCATACTGGGTGGTCTCTTTTGGGAGGTGGAGGGCATTTCGCATAATGATGGACTATGCCCCTGCAGGGATGGAGGCACGGGAACACCAAGGGCTCAACCACGCTTAATTATTCTAGGCACAGATCCACACTTTCCTGGTCCATGTCTGAGCGCTTTCATTTTTCCCCTGCTACTTTCCCCGGGAAAATCCACGCTTCAATGGCAATTTGGGTTTTCTACAGAATTGTTTTCAGCAGCAGAGGGAGGGTTTTCATGGGGAAAGTGCGAGGGAGGGGCGCTTGGGCACAGACCTAGAAAACCAAGAGCAAAGGTAAGCGTGGACTCTTTTTGCAGTTCAGTAAGTTCAGTAAGGGACATGGGTGGCGCTGTGGTCTAAACCACAGAGCTTAGGGCTTGCCGATCAGAAGGTCGGCGGTTCGAATCCCCATGACGGGGTGAGTTCCCGTTGCTCAGTCCCTGCTCCTGCCCACCTAGCAGTTCGAAAGCACATCAAAGTGCAAGTAGATAAATAGGTACCACTGCGGTGGGAAGGTAAACAGTGTTTCCGTGCACTGCTCTGGTTTCGGTCACGGTGTTCCGTTGTGCCAGAAGCGGTTTAGTCATGCTGGCCACATGACCCGGAAAGCTGTCTGCGGACAAACGCCGGCTCCCTTGGCCACTAAAACGAGATGAGCGCCGCAACCCCAGAGTCATCCGCGACTGGACTTAATGGTCAGGGGTCTCTTTATCTCTTTACCGAAGATGGAGATGCACTATAAAGTGTGGGATAAACAATGAAGCAATGGGGAGACATATAACCTCTGTGCAAGCAAATCTGGATGGATGTTGAAAAAAATTGGGGGGGAAATTGTTCAGTAGCACCTTAGAGACCAACTAAGTTTGTTCTGGGTATAAACTTTCGTGTGCATGCACACTTCTTCAGATACACTGAAACAGAAGTCACCAGACCCTTATATATAGTGGGAGGGTCGGATGGGTGGGGTTTTTATCAGGAGGGTAGTAGGAGATGGGTATTGTAAACCTGCTGACGACTGTTAACAACTGCAATTAGTCCTACAGGAAAAAGCAAGGGATAGTATGCAGATGACCAAAAACAGCTTTAGCATGTGTAATAAGACAAGAATCCAATATCTCTATTCAGACCAGGTCTCTGAATGGATGTTGTTATTGTTTAATCTTCTCACAAACAAATTGGGGCAAATGCTCAATAAATAAGGGACAGAATTAACTGCAACCTCTGCATAAGCTTTGTGCAACCGGTTCAGGATAAATGCTCAATAGGTGGAACATGTGGAGGAGCCCAAAGTCTCTTCCTCTCTTAGCCTTAGTCAGTGGCTTTCTCCTGGGGTCTTCTTCTTCTTCTTCTTCTTTGACAATCCCTCATAGCCAAGTAAGATTGTCTTCCATAAACACAGTTTTTACAATGAGTCCGCAAGTGACTGTGGAGGCCAATTCTGGATCCACATGTTCTTCCACAGTGGGGACATTGATTCCCGGGCAGGAGTTGGATCACGGTGTGGATTTGCCAAGCGTGCCTTCCTCTTAGCACGTTTCTCCATTGCATCCTGAGTTCGAGTGTCTTCAAGGCCCATTACACTTTTGGTAAAGGCTGTTCTCCAACTGGAGCGCTTCCAGGCCAGTGTTTCCCAATTGTTGGTGTTTATACTACATTTTTTTAGATTTGCCCTGAGACAGTCTTTAAACCTCTTTTGTTGACCACCAGCATTACGCTTTCCATTTTTAAGTTCGGAATAGAGTACAGCAGCCTTCAACCTTCCTCCAACCTGATACCTGCTTTTAAGCCAAACATACTGCCACTACAACTGCCTTAGACCAGGCTGTGACCTGGTGGGTCTCAGTCCACCAATTAATGGCCTGTACAGTGGTACCTCAGGTTACAGACGCTTCAGGTTACAGATGCTTCAGGTTACAGACTCCGCTAACCCAGAAATAGTACCTCGGGTTAAGAACTTTGCTTCAGGATGAGAACAGAAATCGCACGGCAGCAGCGGGAGGCCCCATTAGTTAGAGTGGTACTTCAGTTTAAGAACAGTTTCAGGTTAAGAATGGACCTCCGGAATGAATTAAGTTCTTAACCCGAGGTACCACTGTAGTTGCTTTGGAAGACAATAATCAGGCATCTGTAAAGCTTTGTCGTTTGGCATGCAGGGCGTTGGCAACGAGGAACGCAAGAAGAATACTTTAGATTTCCTGTATGTAGTGCTTTTTTCCCTGGGTGTACTCAAGGATACACAGAACCAGCGCCTTTTCTTTCCAAATGTTAAAAGCATGACACCTTTCTGTAACAACTTCATAGGGAGTAACGGCAACTTTTCCTTTTCCTTTTAAAAGCACTGGATATATGTATGGTGTTATGGATTTAAAGGGGGGAGGGAATCTCCCTGAACCCTAGAAATTAACAAATGCCAGGGTTTTGATCAATTGGGATATGGATTAAAGAGCAGAACTGTGCCAAACAGGGAATTCCTGGGCTGGCTTATGCAAACCAGCCTGGCTGGCTGGCTGAAGAGCAAACCTGTTAGCAAGACAAAAGGTGTTGACGGGCCATTGGGGAGTGTGATGTTCCCAGGGTGATGTGGCTGTATGTTTGAGGGGAGAGGGAAAGGGTTTCTGGGAAGAAGAAGCAGGAAGAAGGGGCAGAGATCCATCTTTGGAGGAGGCTGGCTGCAGGCTGCTCCCTCCATGCAGGTGTAAATAGGTGTCCTGCCAAATGCAAGGTGGTTCTTTTAAAATGAGATTCGGAAGTAATACAAAACACAAGTGAGCGAGAAGATTAAAGGTTTTATTCTAAACAGCAAGCAATAATAGTAATAATAATAATAATAATAATAATAATTTATTATTTATACCCCAGCCATCTGGCTGGGTTTCCGCAGCCACTCTGGGCGGCTTCCAACAGAATATTAAAATACAATAACCTATTAAACATTAAAAGCTTCCCTAAACAGGGCTGCCTTCAGATGTCTTCTAAAAGTCTGGTAGTTGTTTATTTCCTTGACAGCTGATGGGAGGGCGTTCCACAGGGTGGGTGCCACCACTGAGAAGGCCCTCTGCCTGGTTCCCTGTAACTTGGCTTCTCACAGCGAGGGAACTGCCAGAAGGCCCTCAGCGCTGGACCTCATACCAAGCAAGCACTTCAACCTGCCACTTGGAAGTCCTCAAGAAGCGGAGAAGTGATTCTCCCAGGTAGCCTCAGTTTGCACGGCCCCATGGCCGATCAGTCCATGTTGGAGCTTCTCAGAAATTCTGCCCACAACCATCCGATTTATAGCTAGCTAGCCTGTGTGGCTTGCCCAACTGGCTACGTGCAAATCATTCATTACTGGCCACATGCAGATCATTCAGTGGCCACCCCCTCCCAATGCCTCACTTTCTCAAACATCAAAGAAGGTACTCAAAGAAGGTACGCATTACTATCACTTCCTCCCAAATGACTAGGACAGGCACCCCCAAACTCGGCCCTCCAGCTGTTTGGGGACTACAACTCCCATCATCCCTAGCTGACAAGACCAGTGGTCAGGGATGATGCGAGTTGTAGTTCCAAAACATCTGGAGGGCTGAGTTTGGGGGTGCCTGGACTAGTTCATTAGAGACTGCTGTTCTCATGCCATCAAAGAACTTAAACAAGAGACAGGGAGAGGGAAGGAATAGAGGCAGGAAGGGTAACCATGTCAGATCACTAACTTTCCGATACTTACCGTATTTTTCGCTCTATAAGACGCACCAGACCACAAGACGCACCTAGTTTTTGGAGGAGAAAAAGAAGAAAAAAAATATTCTGAATCTCAGAAGCCAGAACAGCAAGAGGGATCGCTGCGCAGTGAAAGCAGCAATCCCTCTTGCTGTTCTGGCTTCTGGGATAGCTGCGCAGCCTGCATTCGCTCCATAAGACACACACACATTTCCCCTTACTTTTTAGGAGGGAAAAAGTGAGTCTTATGGAGCAAAAAATACGGTATTTCTCTTCCGGATGCATTTCCCATACAATAGGCGAACAAACCATATTTCTTAAAGCCACAACAGTCTCCGCCATTTCTTCCATTCTCCGAAGAGACACAGATCCTGTGTGTTTGCCTGGGACCCCGTGGGCTCTTGCCAGCGCTCGGGAGAGAGAGGGGCAGGCACTGGGCTTTTGTGACAATATGGCAAAAGGGTGCTTAAAAAAACAAAAACCCAACACACATACTGTATTTTTCGCCCTATAGGATGCACCGGCCCATAGGACGCACCTAATTTTTGGGGGGGGGAAATAAAGGGAAAAAAATTATCCCCCCCCCCCAGCCGCAGATATATGCCCAAAGCGTGGGGCGCTCTGTTTCAGCGCGCCCCGTGCTCCGGGCAGCAGGCTGCTATCTGCAGCCTAGGGAGCCCCGCGGGAACTCCCGCGGGCTCCCCAGGCTTGCTGATAGCTTCCTGAAGCCTGGAGAGTGAGAGGGGTCGGTGCGCACCGACCCCTCTCGCTCTCTACGCTTCAGCGAAAGCCTGCATTCGCCCCATAGGACGCACACAGATTTCCCCTTCATTTTTGGAGGGGGAAAAGTGCGTCCTATAGGGCGAAAAATACAGTAGTATTGTCTACATCAGCTGGCAGTGGCTCTCCAAGATTTCAGGCAGGGAATCTTCTCCATTCCTACCTGGCGATGCCACTGGGATTTGAACTCGGGACCTGCTTGCAAGGCAGCTGTTCTACGACTGAGCCACAGCCCTTCGCGGGGTGATGATGTCGTCATCCCTGCTGAGAGATAATAGGGTTTGGTTTTTTTAACCAACTGCATTTGAGAGGAAAACCTCTCCTCCTCCGCTCTCTGTTGCTTTCCAGCTCCTTTGCCCACTTCTCTGACTTACCAGCAACTTCACAACTTTCCCTCGCACATCATGAGCAAGTGACTGACACGCCCAAGAAGCGTGTCCGGTAAAACCACTCCAGTCATTCCAAAAGGACGCAGAAACAACACCAGCCGCCACCCCCCACAAAAGGTTATAGTGCTTTGGCATTCCTGCAAACATGTTTGATGGAATTTAGCTTCCAGCCTTGGGGCAGGTGAATTCACGTTGAATGGATTCCTTGCACGGTCAATAATGGAGAGATTTTGGAAGGACTGTTGTTATGAGTCTGATGGGTTCTTGTTTGACCTAGGAAATACTTTCCTGAATATATATATATATTCTGTTTTACGATTTAGAATACTCATTTAAACACCCTTAAAATATCATTGACTTCCCTTCTTCTCTTTCCATGGTTCATTTTACATACCATGAATCCCTGCATATTTTACATAAACCAAACCATACAGTATTCCATTATTGCATCCATCAAAACTTATATACACTGTTGAATTTATCTTAATGCTGCCAACGTTTTCAAGTGTACACAATTTCCCCCCATATATTCAATAAACATTTTCCAATCTTCTCAAAACGTATGTTCTTCCCATTCTCTTATTCTATATGTTAAGTCCGCAAGCTATGCATATTCCATCAGCTTAAGTTGCCATTCTTCTTTAGTTGGGACCTCGCTGGCTTTCCGTTTGGGGGCTAACAAAACATGGGCCGCAGTAGTGGCATACGTAAATAACCTTTCCTGAGAATTTCTTTAGCCACACACCCTTAGCCATGCCCCTATAGCCGCGACCTTTCTAAGACCATCCAACAAAACCAATTTTTCCCCAATGCATATGATAGATAAATAGATAGGTAGATATCTTTATTGTCATTGTCCGATACAGAACAATGAAATTGAAAAACCACATAAAACATTCAAAAACCCCTAAAAACTCTGAACCCCCATTTTAAAATACATTATACTATACTATAAAATACACTATACTATAGAGACCCCTTATGCTGTGTTTAGAACAAGAATTGCATTTGCATAGAAACTGTTTCTCAGGCGGCTAGTCCTGGCCTTTATAACCCTATACCTTCTTCCAGAAGGCAGAAGCTGAAAGAGATCATTTCCGGGGTGTGTACTATCCTGCACTATCTCTGCCGTTTTCTTATGGCACCTGGCAGCATAGATTTGATCTAAGGTGGGAAGAGTGCACCCAGTTATTCTCTCTGCAGTCGTTATAACCCTGGATAGCATTGTTTTTTCCCTGGCCGTGCAGCTCCCAAACCACACACACAGACCATAAGTTAATATGAAATATACTCGGAGTCGAGTGTGAATTTCATGCTCTTTATTCAGCTCGTAGTAGCAATGAATGAAACTTTCCCCAAAACATCTAGCTATATATACATTATTTACACAATGGGCCCCATGTGATTGGCTAACTCCAGGCTGCTTCTGTAAGCCAATCAGGTTGCGGATTCACTTCCTCCAGAAGCCTGATAGGTTGCTCCTGCAGGCCAACCAGGTCGCTGATTCACTTCCACCTGGCGCTGGATTGGGTGGCTCCTGCGGACCAATCAGACTACTGCATTCTGGATCCTGTCGTTCTAGGATTCAGCTCAGTACATAACAGCATATATTATGGCTTCAATACCAAGCCAGCTTCCCCTCTCCACTTTGCTTAGCACGCAGCCTGATGGAAAGCTCTTCTGGACACAAAATTATAGTGGCGCTTGGCTCTTGTATTTCCACATGTGAGGAGCCACCACTGAAAAGGCCCTTTGTGTGTGGGGGGGAAGCCCAGTCTGAAAATTTGCTCAGAATCGTAGAGTTGGAAGGGACCCTAACTCTTTATCATCCCATCTGTGGTGGTGCTCGATTCCTGACCCTCTCTGTTCCACCTCTGGTGAAAGGTCAGTTGGCTAAGGTCATGCCCGGCTAATCTGGCGCTGCTCAGCGATCCTGCCAGGACAGCTTTGGCGCCACCACACGCAGCAATTCAGCACTCCCAACATGATGTTCCTTTGCTGAAGAACATGCCCGGGAGGGAGGGCATGGCTGGGCAAAGACTAGTCCGCGTTCAAGTTCAAACTGATATTCCAGCAGGCACGGAGGGCAAGAGGGAGGCAACAACCTGGGCATGCCAACCTCTCAGCCAGCTTTCCATGCCAAGGGCAACGCACAGTGCAAAGCGGGCCCAAGGAGCCAACAGCCAAGGGAGGCGAGGAGGGAATGAAGTCATCTTTCTCTCTGCCAATCCCACCTCCTTCATCTCCTCCTCCTCTTCCTCCTCTCCTCCTTCTTTGAGGATGGGCTGTAGCTCAAGGGCATACCATCTGCTTGGCATGCTGTAGTTCTCAGGTTCAATCTCCAGTGGTTTCTCCAATTAGGACTGGGAGAGACTGGAAAGCCACTGCCAGTCAGTGTAGACCATACTGAGATAGACCAATGGTCTGGCTTGAGATAAGGCAGGTTTCTGTGTTCCTGCGTCTTAAGGAACCATGGTAAAGTGTCTGTCTTGCCTCCAGGAGCAATCTCCAGCCCCTCATAGAATCATAGCATTGTAGAGTTGGAAGGGTCCCTGGGGGTCATCTAGTCCAACCCCACTGCAATGCAGGAATCTCAGCTAAAGCATCCATGGCAGATGGCCATCCAACCTCTGCTTAAAAACCCCCGAAGGAGACCGTTCACTGCCAAACAGCTCCTCCTGTCAGAAAGTACTTCCTGATGTTGAGTTAGAATCTCCTTTCTTGGAACTTGAAGCTATTGGTTCGAATCCTACCCTTCGGAGCAGGAGAAAACAAGCTTGCTCCATCTTGATGGAGATATTGAGATATTGGACGTTTGATCCTCTGCCTCTGCCAGTCAGCGTAGACAATACTAAGCTAGATGGACCAGTCTGACACAGGCAGCTTCCTACGTCCCTATATTTTGCCACAGCGGCTGCAATATCTGCAAAATATTGGGAGAGCGGGGTATGCAAAGCCTCTGGCCTTTGGTTGCAACAGTTTGATTCCTAGAGGGATCAAATTTCCAGCAAACAGCAAATGCAATCCAATAGAAAACAATCCTGACTTTGGCTGGCTCTACACTAGGGTTGCCTGAGGTCCCTGGTTCCCAGAGACAGTCCCCAGATTTGTAAATCTGTCCCTGGGAAATGTGGCAGTGGCAGCCTCAGCAGCCCGGAGCCAGTCTGGTAGCGCAGTTTGCTCTGGCTGGCTTCAGGTGCTGCTCGCTGCCGTGGCGCCCGCCATTTTTCCTCGCTGGAAGTCCCCATATGATGTATCTTGTGCACAACATATCATATTGGGACTTCCGGCAAGGAAAAATGGCGGGTGCCACGGCAGCGAGCAGCTCCTGAAGCCAGCCAGAGCCAAGTGTGCTACCCGGCTGGCTCCGGGCTGCTGACTGCCGCTGCCGCCACTGCCGAAGGGGAACTGGGGACGTCTGGCGGTACAGATCTCCTGCCCCCTGCCCCCTTTGTTCCCTCTTTGTTTTGACCAATCGGGGGAGGCTTGGGAGTTGCGGCCAGCTGGCCATTGCCCAGTTTTTTAAAAACTGCGCATTTATGTTTCACAGGATGCAAAAAAGGGCTTTGCACCTTTCTACAATAAGCATGTGTGCTTGGGCCCAGGGTCTTTTGCCTCACCGTCCCCACTGCTGACTCCCTGTTGCTACTCAGCTTCAAAAAAAAAAAAAAAGTGTCCCCAGATTCATTGAAAAAAAATCTGGTAACCATACTCTACACACGAAGCAGAATGAGGCGGAGGGATAGAATGGGCCACATCAGAAGACAGCTGCCGAATCATGTCTAATAATTCCTACAAGAAAAATGCTAGTAGAAGAAGAGTTTGAAGTGTTTGGATTTGATATCCCGCTTTATCACTACCCGAAAGAGTCTCAAAGCGGCTAACATTCTCCTTTCCCTTCCTCCCCCACAACAAACACTCTGTGAGGTGAGTGGGGCTGAGAGACTTCAGAGAAGTGTGACTAGCCCAAGGTCACCCAGCAGCTGCATGTGGAGGAGCAGGGAAGCGAACCCGGTTCACCAGATTACGAGACTACCGCTTTTAACCACTACACCACACTGGCTCCCTTCAAGGAGGAAAGTTCTATCCACACCTCTCCCTATGGTGCTAGCTTTTCATGTACGAATCCCTGCAAGAAGAAAGGTAGTACATCATGGAGGAACGTTCCCGTCACACCTCTTCTTGCGGTGCTAGCTTTTTGCTTGCAAGGGAGAGGTGCTGTGGTTGATTCCCCATCTGTGGACTGAAGGGACAGCCATTCGTGCTGTGGCCTCGGGACAAGGAAAGGCAACAACCACATTTTAAGCAGTACGTCCCACTGATGACAAGAGGAGAGGGGGTGCAGAATCCACCTCACCGGCAAAATATTTAGCTGGTCGAGGCGTTCCAGAGGGAGAGGCCCAGGGGAGGCCTCTGCCTGCCCTCTAGCTGTTCCCACACTAGATTCAGTTTGTCCGATGACACCCGTGTATTTACCTTGGCAGAAGCCGCAGGGCAACCCAAGTCGGTTCAGAAAGTAAAAGCTGCTTCTTAAAGACAAAGGGACCCAAAAACGCACAGCAGAAAAAACGAAGCAATCTCCAGCTTCAGTTTCAGATTACCGTATTTTTTGCACCATAACACTCACTTTTTTCCTCCTAGAAAGTAAGGGGAAATGTCTGTGCGTGTTATGGAGGAAATGCCTACGGGTGGCATGCCTACGGATTTTCCTCCTCTAAAAACTACGTGCGTGTTATGGTCGGGTGCGTGTTATAGAGCGAAAAATACGGTAGGTCTAGTTTGGTGAGGCAACAGGGGAAAGGGGCCTCAGGTTTTAGGAGGTCTTGAACGGGTGGGAAGACGAATT